GACTCAGCCTCCCAGGGCGGCGCCCTTGGCAGTGAGAACCAGCGAGCAGGCAGCACCTGCCTCAGCCGCATGCGGCCCGGGGCCAGAAAGCAGCGAGGCCCGACCCACCTGAACCGCAAGGGACGAGCAGAAGTCAAGAGAAAATGCAAAGCGTGACTCAGGGAACGCGCGCGCCTGCCAGGTGCTGAGCCTGTGGCTGCTTCATGGTCCCGTCCAGGGTGTCGGAGGGCTGACCTTGACAGGTTAGTGGGAGGGCAAGTCCCCAAGGGCCGGTTTTGAAAGTGGAGAAGCTGAGGGCTGCACAGGTAGGATGGGCTGAATAAATAGGTAAGGTGAGCCCCGCAAACACGACATGCAAATCACCCCCCCTGCCGAGGGCGGAATCTTGGAGCTACATCTGCAAGGGGTGGCAGCATCCAAAGGAGCTGAGTGTGGAGGATGCTGGGCCAGGTTCAGGGAAACAAAGCCCTTTCCTGGCCCACAGGGGCTTGTGTTTTTTGTTTGCCCGTTGGGTTTGAACACAACCCGCAGCGGCAGCCTCGACGCTCATCTTCTGCACCGGCGGGTCCAACCTGGCAGCTGCGGACCGCGTGGGGCTGCGAGCAGGCGAAGTGGCTTGTGAGCAGAAGGAGCTGAGGGCCGCCCTTTATTTTTTTCTTTTCTTTTTTAAATTTTATATATTTTTATATCCTTTTTCATTTTTGTACAGTGTATGCATTTTCATCTGTGTTATAGTTGACTGAAGTAGAAAGGCAAATAGCCCCGCCGGTCTGGCAGCCACTGTGTTGGGCAGCACTGGTCTAGAATCTTGTTACTCTCATGTGTGGGTGAACTTTCTGGCTTTTAAAGCCACTGCAGGTTGCATGAAGAGCATTTATTTGTTTGTTTGTTTGTTTATTTATTTATTTTATTTTGAGCTCTAAAGTTCATGTGGGCTATCATAGGCAAAACAATTAAAATGTTTATGTTGGGTCACAGCCTTCACACTCAAGCTTACCTGGCCCTCTGGGAGGCTCCCTGCTGTAAACACCTCCCTGGGCAGGGGTGAGGCAGAACAGCTGCCGCAGGGTGTCGGGTTAACTGCCCAGCCTCTTTCCCACGCAAGCTGGGTCCTTGTGACCCCGGAATCTAAATATTTCGTTGCTGGGTTGCTGATGGTGAAAGGACAATAATCCTCTTCCTATTAACAGAGCAAATGGTGCTCTTGAAAAACAGAGCTGATCTCCACCTTCTTTGCCAGCAAAATAGTTGCTGTGACAACGTGTCCTCGGGCCTCGAGGTCTGTGTACATGAGGCAGAGGCTCTTCCTGTGAGGATAGGGTGCCTGTGAAGAAGTGGAGGCCCGTGGTGTCTCTTCACAGGAGGCCGCTGCCCCCCAGGCCCCCCCCAGGTCCAGGGCTGGTCACTTCCATCATCCACGGGAATCGGGGTTCTTCTCCCCTCTGTGAAGGATCCCGGTGCCGTGTCCCTCCCAGCAGGCACCGTGCCTGTGGCTGTCCCAGGGGAGTTACTGTTTTCTCCTCCTGTCGAGCTGGCCTGATAAGTCATCCACTTCCTAGTGGGTTATGCGAAGCTGCTGTTTATTCTTCTGTTAAATTTTTATCTGATTAAACAGTTCTCATGTTTGTATGTAACTTTCAAAAGGATTTAAAGTTAAGTCACTGCATTAGGTTGGCTTTTAGAAATGTGACCTGTGACTCAACTGAGGCAAAAGAAGGTTCTGGAAGCCTCGAAACCGGCTCTTCCACAGACACCTGGTAGAGTATCATTGGCAAGACTAGTTGGACACCAAGACAGCTTCTGACGTCATCTGGTGTTAGTATGTCAGTTATGCTTCTCGCCCGTTCTCCCAGTGATCTCATGAGATATGATGAGAAGTGCCTCCGTGATGGAAGCTGAAGTGATCAGCGGGAGAGTGGTTTGCCTGAATTCACACTTTAATGAGACGCGGAGCTGGCCCTTGATGATAAGTGTTCTCTCTAGCGTTCCCAGGAACTAACTGAAATGTTTTTAGGGAGCACCACTTTAAAGAACCTCTCAGCACAGGCTTCCTAGTGACTGCTTTACCTTGGATTTAGACTGGACAGAACCTCTTCCTCACCGACCAGCAGTCACAGCCGCGGGTTGGATTGAGGAGGCTGTGCCTCCATGGAGCGGCCATCAGGCCAGGCCAACTGCACTTGGCGACCTGCCCACCTGGAGGCAGGTGTCTGGAAAGGAGAGTTTGAGCCTGGGCCTGTGACTTGAGGGTAAATGCCTGGCTTGCTCATGGCCCCTCAGATTTGTGCCAGCCTGAGTCTCGGTTGAGGAATGAATGAGTGATGGAAACTGCAATGCAAGCGTCCGAATCGGCAGCGGAGGCATGTCCTTGGGGACTCTGCTGTGGGGATGTCCAGGGGTTGAGCAGTTCATGTTCATAGCCGCTCCGCAACCAGAGGATGAACCAGCCTTCGCAAACCAGAGGTAAAATGCCCCTTGGAGTTTTCCACCACAGCAATCTCCAGAAGGAAATTACTCAGGGGACGTTCACCCCGGGAGATGAACAGGGTTTGGTGGGGTTACCCCACCTCCTTCAGCTGTCTCTTTCTCCTGCCCCTTGCTGAGTGACGGTGGATCCTTTACGCCTCTAGAGCATGATCTGACACTCAGTTCTCAGAGCTCTGGAAATGGGATCCGCCCATCTGGGTTCTCTTTCTGGAGGTGCCGAATTTCTTGCTCACGCCCTCCCCTGGGAGACCAACTCTGGGGCCTCCGAGGCACTGGGGACGCTATAGAGGCTTGAGGTTCTGCATTTCCTCAGGATTTGAGATCTAGCACGGCAGCGCCAGGCTGTGAAGATTTAAGAGGCAGATTTTCATAGAGATTTGGGTAAGAATCCAAATCTAGGAGCGAAAATCTCCAAACCAACCCATGGCCTGAGGGGTTGAAGATGTCCAGGATCTGGCTTCATCTGTGCCACAGACAAGTTGAAGGACGGAGCCGGGAGGATTGGGATCCTGAGCACACGGGTCGGGTGGCTGTTGAGAGTGATGCATCCGGTGACATTTCCTCCCACCCTGCCCTTCCTGTGCTTCCGTGGCCAGAGGCCGACCTTCCAGTGTCCCCCCAGAGAGTACTGTGATACAGACAGCAAAGCAGAGGTGAATTCACTGTGGAAATTTCTAATTCTGTCCTTCTTCCCCACTGAGAAGATGTGACCCTGAATGCACTTGTCTGCTCAAGGCCCACGCCCTTGGGATGTCATTATCTGGACAGAACTGAGATTATGTAAGCAACGTTGTTCTGAGTCCTCAGACACACTGCGTTGCGCTGACGTCATGCAAACGTGCAAAGTCCCGTTCTCCTAGTTTAGCAATTGCACTTTCATGCGCTTTCACCACATGTTCTTGTCTTGATTTCATAATGACGTATATGTGCAAGTATGTCCTCTTTAGCTGTGATCTGAGTGTTTTACGATGATGATTCAAAGAATGGATTATGTTTGTAGCATGACAAAGAAAACGACAGGAGATTGTCACCAACCCAACTTTGTCCCCCAAACAAAGCTGGTGGAGAGAAGCATGAAAGTTCAAGTCCTTGGCTCCCCCAGATGTGTGAGGATCGCCACGCGGAGTGGCTGCAGCTGTGTGTGCGAGTCTGCATGACAGTCGAAGAACCCAGCTGCCCGCTGGCTGAGTAATTCCAATCTAGGAAGAGGGCTGTGCGCTACGGTGCGACTTAAATTGCATTCTATGTATTTTTTTAATCTGTTCTTGATTTTTGTCTCTAAATGCAAAAATGGGAGACTATCTTAATGCTAAAAATGTGCTTCTCTAGCCAAACCAGATTTAATTTTTGGATGAATATCACTGCCTAAGTTGATTCAGTGGCAGGCATTATATTTAGACCTTGGCTAACAGGAAAAGGTCCGGGCGACATGTCCTTGGTGCTGCCAGTGTCGGGAGATTGGCTCCCAGCCCTTCAGACTCTGGGAGAAGTATTTTATCGTGTGAGTTTATGTTCTTTAATAGAGAATATAGATCTCTCCCAGGGATACATCTACCTCCATAAACATCAGTCATGGAGGTTTTTAAAGGTGTCCTTTGAACATTAAATAACCACAGTGTGAACATCTTAGATTAAAGAAGAAATCCCAATGAGAGCTTGATTGATATCGGGTCTCCAGGATCTATCTCAGGGATCCACACCACTGACAGAGCCTATCCTCTAGAGTCTATTTCAGGCATAAAATATTAACTAAGAATTCATGAAAGGCATATTAGTCATCTTAAATCAATTCACCATGCTAACAACCAGTGTCGAATGCAGCTTGTGGTATTTAGTGCTTACAGAGGACAAGTAAAATTCTTAGGCAGATAAGATCTGAAACACAAAATAAGATCCTCCAGCACAGTGGTTCACAGCTCCCTCTCTGGCTGCCTGGAATGGAGCTCCCCAGCGCCCCAAGACACACCCTGGCTATAAAATCTTAGGTAATGTTTCTTAACCTTTTTAAGGCTCAGTTTTCTCACTTATAAAATGAGGCAAATATATAGAGAGATTGATGAGAAATAAATAAACTAATAGACATCAAGTACCTAACACAGTGCGGGGACATCATAAGTATTTGAATAATGGTAATTTCTGTTCTCGTCAACATCGTGTTGCTTATTCTATTGATTTTATTCTTCTTATGATCCTAGATGAAAAAAATAGCCAAACCCTCGCTAGCTGTTGCATGATGCAGATGTTACTACATTTTGCTTTCTTACAGTAATAACTAGACAGAGTGATGCAAAGGATTAGGCGATAAGAAAAAATGAATGAGCTTCAGCGAGGATGAAAAGGTCACACGGCCAGGAGCAGGTGGGCGCTACCCAGGATGCGAACTCCTGGCTTGCCATGGGCTCCTGCCCCTGCCTGGGAGGCACCTACACACACGTGCACACACATACACACACACGTGCACACACAGGCATGCCAGCAGCAAGAGGAGAAAGGCTCCTAGAGATTCTAAGTACCTGCTTGGAAGATGACCCGCTCGAAAACCGGGATCTCTCGTGATTGTTCTCTTGCCCCCAAAATTGATCGTGTTTCTTCTCATTGGAGTCTTTCCTGCATTCCTGTCTTCTCAGGCAAGCCTAGAGAGCAAAAAAAGGTTTGTCTGAGGTCTGTCGTCGGCTTTGACGGCTTTATGCCGATTTCTTCTGCTGGGGAACGTGACATGCGTGGGGATATTCATCCCTTAGTCCAAAGTGCCCGTCAAAAATATTTGTCATTGCGTTAATCACTTTATTCTTTGCGATAAATAAATTGTAGTCACCAGTGCCCTAAGTGACATTTTGGCACGTGCATGCCCCACGGATGCGCATGTGGTGTTTGCATCTCCTCCCGGTCTCCTTCCCTTGGCCGCTCCTCCCTCACACTCGCCTGCACTCTGCTCTCTCCCTCGGATTATGCTCTAGTCACAGGGTAAGAATTTTCATTCGCGAGAGCTTTAGCCCAGGCTGTTCCTCCCACTTGGAATGCTGTTCCCGAGACGTTCTCTTGGGCTAACACCCAGGTGGCCCTTCTCCTCAACCCCGGCTGACCTGATTGCTCCTTTAGCTGCTTTGCTGGGATTAGGCACTGCCCCCCTCTACATTATATTGAGTCATGTGATTTTTGAGCCTGTTTCCTCTACTGGCCCTGAGAACACTGAGGGGAAGGACCATCTCTGAGCTTTTGACTCCCTGACATCCAACGCCCAGTGTCAGTTGAGTTGCATTTTTGTTTTGGAGGGAAAGATTGAGCCCCAAATACAAAATAATAGAAATAAAGTGACCAACTATATATATATATTTAAATGTAAAGAAAATCTAGTATCAAAATATTTCTCTTCGAGTGCTGGGATGGGACGCTCCCGAGGGTAGCGTGAGAGATGGGGGCTTGCACTGATATTTTAAATAGTCCAAAATAGTAAAACTTCTCAGGGCATTTCTAGGGATCCAGTGGCTGAATTCACCTTTCCCCGCCAGAACCAGTTACCCGCTGCGACGGTACAGCAAGGCGGGGTGGACGCCTGGTGCTGCTGAACTATTCCTGACATTTCCCTCTTCCTGGCTGGGTCGAGAAAGGAAAGATTCCTCTGGATTTTTTCCCCGCCTATTAGAAAATGCATTTCCTTCCTTGAGGTAGAAGACAGGTCAGAATTTCTTGCCATGGGGAAAGCCTGGTACGGGGTTAGGAATAGAAATGACCTGATATCAACAAAACGTTTCCCACTTAGAAGTGGGAACAGAGTGCCTTATACTGAATCACGGGCTCATCTGCAGGGGGCGGGCTGTTACCTGCAGTCACCGGAATCCTGGGTTCCCAGGAGAGAGATGCAGATTTACCACCCCATCGCCTCCCCCCCAACCCCCATCCACCTTTGCCTGGAAAGGGGACGTATGCCAAGATGGCTGCACGCAGAGCGGTTGCAGAGCGGTTGGTTGGTTTGCATCTGTCCCACAGTTAATCTCGTTTGCAAAAACCATGCCATACCATGGTAAGCCGTCATAAATATTGGGCAGGGTTTGTTTGCATAAATAAACAAGAGCCGCACCCGGCCCCCACCCCTCCCCCCCAAAAAAGTCTGAACAGTAACCATAATGAAGCAATTGAGCAAACACAAAATAATAAACCAGGAGAGTCAGCTGGAGCGCCTGGTGAAGTTTAGCTAAACTTCAACCTCCTTCCTCGTGCAGTGACTCCGGATTGGAGCTGTTTGTGGGGAGCCCTGGTGTGGGGCACTGTTTCCTGGAGCAGATGTCTGCCTTAGCCTGACCTCCTGGTACTACGGGCACATAAAGAAAATGCTGGTGGAGGAGCCAAGGCCGGGGAATGCACGTGGGACCGGGGCAGACTTTGCGGGAAGAAGGGAATTCTTAAGGGCTGAGTGTTTTTTGAACGTTCTTCCAAGAATGCATGCAGCTTCACTATTTCTTTACCAAAAGGGGAGGAAGAATAGAATAATTTGCACTGTTGGGAAAAAAAGATTGTTTTTCCCTCTGGTTCCTTATCCCTGCTCTGCTAGAGGAGCAGATCAGTGACAAGGTACATAGTTTGGATCTTGATACAGCGGAACAATTTTTCTGCCAATCAAACATTCACCGTCCCCAGGGAGAGCTTTGCAGAGGAGAGAGCAGGCAGGCGGGGGCAGAGCCAGGTCCAGACTCCAGTCCTAGAAATAGCAACCCCTAACCACGCTCCCGCGAGGACTAGCATTCGTGTCATTTGTCAACGTGAATTGTTTGTAGTTGATGCATGTGGGGTGCCCAGGTGACAGGGCCAAGGAGTGAAACCCACAGGCTGGGGAGGGGAGCAGTCTCTGTAATTCAGAAGCACCAGTGATCCTCTTCATCCCTCAGCACTTTTAAGATATTCGCCTCTCAATTTCACGTGTTGGAGTTAGACTGCTATAAATAAGTTTCTGTTCAAGTGACGAAACTGGCTGCGGGCAGTCTTGAAATTGGATGTTCGGGTAATTTCTTATTTCCTCCTTCCGGGGAGAATCAGGGCTTCCTCCTGCACCCAAGCCCATGCCTCTGACTCCAGCACAGCCGTCTGTCAGGCTGCCTTCTGTGCAGAGGCTCCCACTGTGGGGGCAGGACACAGAATGTACAGATACTCCCGTGGGGGGATAGGTCTGTGGGGGTGACGTGGGCTTTGTGACTCACTGTAACTCAACATCGGTAAAGGCGGCAAACCCCGGCTCTGCCACTTTCTAGCATCGTGACCTTGGGCAAGCTGACTCCGTGGGTTCTCTGTCTGTCCTCCGCAAGCGTGGGGAGAACACGAGGCACTGTTGGCAAGACACTTGTAGCGACTGGCTCCTGGTGAGTGTCCCATAAAAGGGGCCCATCATCATCATCCTCATCCTCATGGCCACCATCAGCATCATCTGCATCATCTGCATCATCAGCATGACGAGGCTTTCCATTATTCCCAAGCCTATTTCTTGGTTTACTCTTATTTCCCAAGTCAGCCTTGGCCAAACAATGGGACTGATCTTGGGCACGAAAGAAGAAAGACTCTTTCTTCTATCTAGGCCTGAGGGTCATGCTGGCCTTTCTGCCCTGGAAGGAGAGGTCTCTTTCCAAGCCTGCTCTTCCCTCACCCCCGGGTGTCTGGCTGCGGACCTCTAGCTTGTGGGTCCTTCTGCAAACTGTTTTCCTTTACTACACCATTGCAGCTTTCTGAATCCACCAGAAGTGTGTCTTTTAATCATCCATCCCCTCCTTCTGGACATCACCTGGGCTCCTGGTGCTTTAGGAAGCCAAGAATCACAGCAATACTCCCCAGCCTCCTGATTCTGGCTACAGACCATCGTAACAGTGACCCAGCCCTCCATCCTGATCCATCATGGCTTCCGTAAGGTCGTTGCTACACCAGCTCCCCGAGCATTTTGGAAGCTGCCACTGACACTAGCTGGTGTTTTTGGTGCTGGTTCTCTTGATCTAAGGTGTATGACCCAGAGTTTAGGGTCCTGATCATCACTGGTGACACTGTTGAGTAAAGTTCATTCATTCTGAGGGGTTGAGGCATCAAAGACCTGCCATTTGTGACAACACGTATGGACCTTGGGGGAATTATGATTTCATTCATTTGTGGAGTGTAAAGAAAACAAAACAAACCCCTGGATGCTGACAACAGAATGGTGGTCACCAGAGGGGACAGGCCGGGAGGGGAAGGGAAGGCGCCGAGGGGCTAATAGGTTGGCAGCGGATGGGACTGCACCCTTGGTGGTGGATGTGGTCAGAACACATAATTGTGGAAGCTGTACCGTGTCGTAAACTAATATTAGCTCACTGAAAATAAAAAGGACAAAGAAATCAAAGGCAGTAAGACAGTGTGCCATGACAGCCCCCTTGAACTAGTTTATTTTCCCACTTAGCTGTGAGGAGTAGAGTAACACACACCTCAGGCGATAGCAGAGCAGAGGAGCCCTCCCCTGACTCCCATGGGGAAGACAGAGCTCCACTCCCCAAGCCTGCTGGGTGCACCCCCCACTCCCAGGCCCCCTGGTATAGTCGCCCATCAAGTCCGCGAACATGTTTGATCTGCGCTCGAAAGAATCAGGATGAGTGTCATGACATGAACCCATTGGAATGCATGACGGATGACGGGAAATGGTTCTGCAAGAACCGTCCTCGGTCTCTCTGGCTTCCAGTGGACATGAATGGCTCAGTGCTGCCTCACGGGATATAAATACACTTGACCAGAAGAAGGGAAAACAGGTCTGCACATGAACACCCTGGAAGAAATAGAGCCAAACTCCAAGAGGGCATATAATTATGTGCTAGTTACCAGATTCTGAAATAGCATGTAATATGCCAAATGGATGTTTATTTCCTCTTGTTTTCTCAAAAGAGTCCCTCCCAGCCACTGAAAGGAGAAGCCTCAAAATAGCTCAGGGTGGGTTTAACCCTCCTCTCCTGCTCGACGCAGACCTGTGAAGGCGCCGCTGACTTGGTGCCTCCCGATGCCGCGCAGACTTTGAGAGGCAGCCGGAGGAGTGTAGACAGGAGGCGGCGAAGGGCTTCCATCTGAGCCAGCTCACCCAAGGCAAGTTAGGCACAGGAGGAAGCATGTGGCAGGTGCATGACTTGGGCGTTCCATCCACTTATCACTTGTAGCATTTGAGGCCCCTGAAATGCAGAATTCCTCGTGTCCAAGCAGGTCACTGCCCTGCCAGTGGAAGCTGGGGTTCCAACAAGGAGGAGCAGACCGAGATCACAGACGACCAGTGGGTCCGTGTCCACTCAGTGTCAAACCCACTGTAACAGTGCCGTAACAGAGACGGGTGGTGCGTGGACCAAACTATAAAGGGGTCCTTAAAGTCAGGCAGTTGGTTCTTAAATTATGATCTTAAATCCTTTCTGGAACAAGGCAAGGGGTAGTAGGTTAAATAACACAAGTCATGCTTCTCCCATGGAAGACATTTCTGTGGGTGGCTACCTACCTACCTACTTCAGCAGCACTCAGAACATTATGGACACAGCCCTATATAGTTTTTGCAGACCTGGCAGTGAGGGGTTTTGAAACTGCCCTCGGGGGCGGATGTGACTTTTAGGAATAGTGGCAGGTCAGTGGGATTGAGGACTTGATGACCAGAGTAGTGGTCACGTTTGGAGACACCGGCTCTCATTAAGAAAAGCTGTTGGGGGCCTCCCTGGTGGCGCAAGGGATTAAGACGCAACCTATGAAGCTATCTGCAGCCTCTGCAGCATGAGTTCCATCCCTGGGCAGAAAGCGACCTCCATGGCCCGGCAGACCTCTCCTGTCTCGCTCGCTGCTCCCCTCAGCAGTGTATTTCAGTGGGTCCGTCTATTCTGCTCCCCACTCTGTCTCTGGTGAATTCTCTCACCGCCCCCCCACACCTCTGGCTTGTTCCCCAGTTCTTGTATGCATGAATAAATAAATCTTTTTTCAAAAAAAAAGAAGCTATTGGGTTCAACATGGAGGAGTAAGAACCCCCACCCCTGGCCCTTACACAGCTGTGGTCCAGTTTGACGGGGGAGGGAGGGTCACACCTGTGGCGATTTCATGATTTCAAGGCAATGTCATAAGCAGTGGTGCCCTGGCACTGGAAAGATGGACATGTTCTAAAATGGGAGGCTGGGTGTGGCTGCCCATTTGGCAGATTTTCTAAAAGTCTCATGCTCAAAAGTTAAGTTTCAACTTAACTTAAGGCCTTAAGTTTCATGCTCAAAACAGGTGCATTTTATGATAGGTAAATGACACCTCAATGGAGTTGTTTTTCAGAAAAGGGTGCCATGGGATACAGAGGTTCCCTTTAGTGCGCAGGGAAAACTATGGTTGTCACCACCCTTGTCAAGGAGCGAAGCAGTGGGAAGAACTGGCTGGAGAGGGGGTGCAGGGTTTGCTGTGATTCTTGCATCCCTCTTGGAGGGAGGGGGGGTGACGGAAGGCTTCCACCAGCAGAGTTAGATGCGTGTTTTGGGGGAGGCCACAGGAGAGCAGTCTGGAGGCAGGGCCCAGCCTTCGAGAGAAACCACGGAGGTCAGAGCCAGAGTGGGGGCGGGAGGAGGAAGAGGAGGGCAAGGCTTGGTGGCTGCTGGGGTGGGGGTGAGAGGGCAGAGGACCGGGTCAGGGGAGGCTCAGGTCCATCTCTGCAGAGGGGGCATGTGGAAGAGGAGGGCCGGAGGGCCGGGGGGCGTGCACTGCAGATTTGCTGAATTTGAGGTACGGTCCAGACAGAAATGTCCCACAGGCTGGGAGTGTGTGATCCCGACATGTTGGAAGATTCGGGATTACAAGTCCTTGGTGCTGAAGTGATGCCTAGAACTGTAGGAGGGCATGAGTCACAAAGGCCTTGTGAATGATCAGAAAACTGGGCTGATGGCAATCTGGAGGATGAGCATTTGAGAGGCAGGGAGGAGTACGTGCGAGGAGCAGGAGGAAAATCAGGGGAGAGTGATGTCAGAAGGCCCAAGTAGCCCTGGTTCTGGATGGAAAGAGAAGTGACTTCACATGGAGATAACGCTTCCACAAACAAAGACTAACAGGGCTTCCAGTATCAGGGGGTCAGGGGAGGTGACAGGCGGGCAGGGGGCTATGGGAGGGGCAGCAGGGGAGAAAGCGGGGTAGGAATGTGTTGACTGGGGACCTCTGGACACTGGACGGCGCCGAGGCTGCACCTACAGGTCACATGGGCCCCAGAAGTCTTTCTTCTTTTGTTGAAAAGATGGAAGGTCTGAGTATGTTTGTAGGCTGAGCCAGTAAGAAAAAGGGACATTTCAGAGACCCGGAAGAGCACCCTGTGGGTGGAGGGGGCCGGAGACAGAGGCGCCTGGACCAACATCTTGGCCTGGATTGACTAGCAGCACAGTCACTTGACCCTGCAGACGGACGTGTCCCTGTGGAAGGGAAGGGGAGGAGTCGAGTGGCTTCCCAGCCGTGTTTTGTGTGTGTGTGTGTGTGTGTGTGTGTGCGTGTGATATAAGAAGGGAAGTTCTCTGTTGAAAGTATGGGGATTGGAGGTTTACAAGAAAGTAGAAAAGTTTAAAATAGTGACAATGACAGAGGGAGCTGACGGGCAGTAAACCTGTGATGTGAGTCCCTTCCTTCATACCTGTCTTTTCCTCCCTCCTTCTCCCCATCTACCAGCAAGATGTCTGTTCTGCTGCTGTCTCCTGGGTGGGAGCACTTCTCCCCATGCCCCCTCCCACCATCCTGGTTCAAGCACTGTATTTTCCCTCCTTGCTTTCTGTCATAACTCCCTTACTAGTTTTTCTGCTGCTTCTCTTGCCCCTTTCAGACCTTCCCCCGACACAACAGCCAGAGTGATCTTTTAAAAATGTATTGGGGAGGGCCTCCCTGGTGGCACAGCAGGTTGAGCGCAGTGCTGTGAAGCTGTCTGCAGCCTCTGCAGTGTGGGTTCGATCCCCGGGGCGGCCAGGGAGAAACCCAAATGGTGAGGCAGACCTCTCCTGTCTCACCCGCTGCTCCCTTCAGCAGTGTATTTCAGTCAGTCTGCCTGTTCTGCTCCCCGCTCTGTCTGTGATGAATCCTCTCACCCTCCCACACCTCTGGCCTATACCCCAGTTCTTGTATAAATAAATAAATTTTAAAAAATGTGTTGGGTTGTCGGAAAAGTCATGGTGCAAAGCAAAAATACACCATGACTTTTCTGACAACCCAGTAATTCAGCTCTTAGCTCTTCCTTGCTTAAAATCATCCACTAATTCTCATGGTGATAAGAATTAACTCCAAATAACAAACTTTGTCCTGAGAGAGTTAGGATGACCTGGCCCTATCTACCACTTTCATACTCCTTTAGTCAAAGTGCCGCAGACACTTGGGCATCTTAGTTCCTGCCTCAGGGCCTTTGCACATGCTTTCCTGCAGCTCAGGATGTTCTGGCTGGATCTTTCCCAAGAATTACCTCCACTGTCAAGTGTTCTTTCCTTAAAGAGGCCTTCCCTTCCTGGGGAAAGGGGCATCACCCCCACCCTGTTGCCTTTGTTTTACTTGCTTCACTATATGTATCAGTAACTGAAATCATCTTACATATTTACTCGTGGGCTGTTTGTTTTTTTGAGCCTAGAAATACTACCCCTGGGAGAGAAGGGACTTGGTTCAGGACATAGTAGGCGTTGAGTAAGGATTGTCACTGGTAAGGACAAGATTGAAAGAGCAATTGAGATTGAAAAGTAAAACTGCAGTGGCTCAGAGTCCCACAGGTGTGTGATTTTCTTCTGTGCCTGACCTGGAGACAATTTCAAACACTCATTTCCAACTGCGGGCCAGGTGGCCGAGGCATCTTTGCGTAAAGAGGATGAACTCCTAGGGCAGCCTGTTGGATGTTTACGTTCTTTACTTTACATTCCTTCCATCTCATAGTCTTGTGGGTGGGTTGGCAGGTGGTGGGAGGAGGAGGAAATTGCTGACTCCGTTTCCAGCCCAAGCTCAGCTGTGTTATACAGGGAAATTGGGTTCCTGAGCGAGGTCTGGTTTCCTTGGTGACCTGGGAGGTTCGGTTATATTTGAAATTGCTAAGAAGGAGAAAAACATGATGATAGCAGTTGCGTGTTTTGCGTGGGGAAGGAGTACTTTTCAGCCCTCCATGGAGGCTGAGGATGGGCCTCCTTGACCGGCCAGGGTTGACTGCTGGCCAGGCCTGCAGGCTAAGTGACACTTCCTTACTGCTCCCAGGATCCCACAGCCCAGTTTGGCAGGTTTGTCCCATGCCAGCTCTGGGTGCTGGCCTCTGGCTCCTCAGATTCCCTGCCTTTGTTTTTGCATATAAACACTGTAACCAGGGTGACAGTAGTTAGCTTACTGTAGAATGTGCTAACCACCTTTCTTCTGGCCTGGTGACAACAAAAGGGCTAGAGATGGTATACAGGGCAGGGAAACCCAGTTAACTCCTTAATGTCCTTTCTTGAGAGTCGCTTTGCCAGATTTAAGCTCCCGTGTCATTTGTTGATCAGGTCTGTGTTAAACTCCTCTCTCATTTCAGTGTTGTGATGCTATCGGGAACTGGGCCCTGTTACCAACCCCACACTGTGCAGATGAGGAAACTGAGCCTCAGGGAGGTAGAGCGACTTTCCCAGCTAGTGAGTGGTGGGTCTGGGAATTTATAAAACCGTTACTGCTTATCATACTGGTACTGTTATCTAAATTGTCTCATAAAACTGTCCACAAAGGTGGAAGGTAATTCCTATGTCCTGCAATTACCTGATATTCAGAGTCCACTTTATGCTGCATGTCCCGGAGATATTGTACATCACTGACGAACTTCTGCCTGTCCTTTGCTTCGTGCAACATGATTCTTAATCCCCAACCTGCATATAAAAGATAAATAAACATGCTATGATAGGATCCTTTGTCACTTTCCCATATTTGAATATCCCTTAGAAGAGCTTTTATTCTCATATTAATCTAATGTCCCTCTTTTGGCAGCACAGATGTTCCTTTCAGACTGAAGGGGCTCTTGGTGTCCGTGTGTTGCTGTGCCCGCCCACCCTCCCCCAAAAGCAGCATCTGGCGTGGGGTGCTGGCCTCCTTATTCACAGACAGTTAGGTTGAGACACCTGATTCAGAAGCTGCTCTACAACGTGACAAAAAAGACAACCCAAGCACCTAGCTAAATTCGCAGTGACCCAAGTTGTAAGCCCCTGGTGGTTTCAATTCATTTATGTTGGCATTCCTGTTCCAGCCCTGGCACCCCAGAGCGTCTGGGGTCTGGGAGTCAGCAAGAACATGGGGCTCAGCCCCACCCTTGTGTCGCGTACAAGCCAGGGTGGGGGACTGGCGTGGAACAGCAAACCCTAATTGTGATACATGCTAAGGAGAAGTGATGTGTGTTCTTTGCGGGGATTGTAATGGGAAAGAAAAACCTGGTTTGGGAGGCAAGGTTTTCCTTAGAAACAACACTGGGTCTGGTAAGGAGTGAGGCAAGAAGAGGCAGAGAGAGCATTCTAGACAGAAAGAGCAGCAGGTAAGAAGTTTTAGGGCACAAAAGGGCTGGTGAGGATGGGGGTCAGGTGGCCCAAAGCGGTTAGAGCAGAAAGAGGGGAGAATATCACCAGAGAAGCTAAGGGGTCGGCGTCAGCAGGGGCTGTTCATGTGGCTCCTTAAAGGTCATGTTTCAAAGGGCCTTGTAACCCTACTAGAAGGTTCCTGCCTGGAGAGCCCATGATTAAATTTGCATTGTCACAAAGTCCCTCCAGCTGTCTGTAGTATGGAGGATGGATGGGGGAGGGATGGAGTAAAAGCAGAAGCGGAAAGGCTTTGGGAATAAATGACAGCAATCCAGATGAGGTAAGATGGGACCAGATTTGGGTAGCAACAGTGGAGAGGAGGAGGAGGAGATCACAGTTACTATTTTCTGAGCCTTTGCAAGCCCCAGGCGCTGTTGTGAACATTTACACATCTTAACTCCCTCAGTCTTCACCACAGTGCTTTGAGGCATGCAGACGAGGAAGAATTTGAGTCACAGAGGGATTTGAGCAACCTGTTCAAGGTTAGAGAGTTAATAAGTGGAAGACTTGGGATTTGAACTTGCAGAATCTCATGCTAGAGCTCAGACTCTTAACCTTGATGGATGCCCAGGAGAGCGCATCACCAGGACTTAGGGGTTATTTGGATGGGACCAGGACAGAGGAGTGTAGAGGATGCTGCCCAGGTTATTGGCTCAAGCAGTAGGCTGGTGGGTATGAGCATTCCCTTCAGAAAACTCAGAAAAAAGAACAGATTTGGGAGAAAATAGCATGGAGTTTGAAGTATCTGGGGTCCTGAAAGTGGAGGCAACAAGTAAGCAGTGGGGTGGAGGGTCCTGGAGTGTTTAGAGAGGAAAACACCTGGGCCCCGCTGGAGGGAAAGGCAAAGTGGGCATTGAACATAGGACGACTCAGGACTAAACTCTGAGGAACAAACATTTAGCAACAGGTGGCCCGAGAGAAACTGCAGAGAAGACACAGAAGCCAGAGGAAACCAGGCAGTTTCAAAGATGCTGAGAAGATGGTGTTTCGAGAAGGGAGTTGTGAGAACCCTGATGCACTTTTAGCAGACTTATGGGCAGGAGACAATTGTGGCAGATGCGTCAATGAGAGATGAGGGAGTAGGGACAATGTTTCCAAGAAGTTTGGTTTTGATTGGTGCAGTTGAGTTTATGACCGAGATATTTAAGCTCACAAAGTCATTAAAGGGCACTGTTAATAATGAGTCTGCTAGAGTTTGTCTCTCAGGTCCTCAGAGGCCCCACCCTGTTTCAGGAGAGCAGCTTCAAATGTTTCCACGAATTTTTTGATGATGACCAGGTGACAGGTGCTGCTCTAGTCTCCAGGGAAACAGCAGGATAAGATGTCCCTGCCCAAGGCAATCACATCTTGTGCCTTCTCCTTCCACTCTCTGCTTTATTCAGTTGTATAGATATTGGCAGAGTCAGGTGCTCCCTACTTGCCATGACCCAACTTTGAGCAAAAGGGAGATTTCGTGCTGGTCTCTCAGGGATTATTTTTTCTCAAGTAGAGAAGCAGATGTTTGAGAGCTGGCATCTGATCTGACTCCATAGTCCAATGGGTAGCTCCACTATTAAGAGGAACAATGAGGAGCAACCTCCAAGCCAGAGCCAGGGCTCATAGCCAACACAACAGTGGAAAGTAGAAATTTTGATACTCCACACCCTGAAGTCTGGCGGGGCTGGGGCTTTGACAGTGAAACCCCTGGTGAGGAGGGGTGTTTTTGCAGGAGCCACCAGCTTGCCATGTGCAGTTTCAGCCTGGACCCTGGTCTCTGCTCAGCAGACACTACCTGGAATAGGACAGATGGCATCTCACCACATACTGGCCAATAATTTTCCTCTCCCTCTTTTTTTTTTTTTCAGCTCTCCTTTTTATTCCTCCCTGATTAAATAAGTCCTGTTATTGTTGTTTCTCCCCAGTGTCTGCTTTTTAGTGACGTCCTGCTGTCAAAAGCTTGCAGGTGAGGACCCACTGACGGGGTCAACTCGGTTCCACCAGGTATGTCTGTTTCACCACAGTCTATACACAAAACCTACATCTTGTCTCTGAGCATTTTAATAGTCATTTATGGAACTTTATTTTAAATGATCTCTTTTAACTTTCCATATGCCTTTATACCTACTTAGAATGAAGTTCTGTTTCCACCCTTTTCAGAAAATGGTGTTAAAACAGGCAGAAAGTTGAACCCCTGCTGCTACTGTTGGAAAGAGAAGCCTGTCTGAATATTAATCAGGCAGAGAACATAAGGATTCATAATAAAAATATATTATGAATATATATATGAATATATATGAATATATATATGAATATATATAGTGGTCACTAAAAGGGCATATCCCAGAGTCCACTTGGATAAGGCATTTTGGTTACAAAGTTGACATAGAAAAGCCAGCTAATCTACCCTGGCGTTCAAGTGGTGTTGTTTTTAAGGAGGATTCTAAATCAAGAAGCATGAAACAATTTTGTCTAGGTAGGTAGGAAATAACACTATTTGAATTACTTGCTAGGTTACCTCTGACTTCACAATCACCTACCAAATAAAGAACTTTAATACCACCTACAGAATTCTCCGTTCCCTACCTCTCTCTTTACTTTAAAATGAATATTTAGAAGCATGGTGGTGTCTCATGTAATCTCTTATTTAAACACATAAATACTTTGTGATTAAACAAATACTACCAGCACCAAGGAAATATGAGCAGAGACAGATCAAGGAGATGGTGGGTGGGTTGCCACAGTTTAGACAAACATTCTTCACGTTTCTGAAGTGTCACTTGAACTTCATGCAGTACTGCAGGTTTGAAAAACTGACCGGGATAAACAAACAGAAATAACTGTGTGGAAATAAATCCACGTGAGATAATGCTTAACTCATGGATCTCAGCTTTGTGAGCCGGCTCAACCCAGATGACTGTTAGAAGCCAAAAATGTTCCCTCAGCAAATACAGACAGGTAGAAGGAGTAAGGGGCAGGGGACTGAAGAATGGTGATAAAATGTGGGCAAACCACATGTTTCTAAAATAGCATTCTGTATTCTCTATTTCTCACCTTGATGCTGCTTCTCAATCTCAAATCAACCTATGGGCATGCATCCTTTTTGTTTTAAGTCTTTGGTGATAATGTATTGTGTCAGATCTGTGCTTTAGAAATCAACATGTTACACTGGGAGAGGCGAAAGGAAAGCAAAAAGAGTAGGTGTGCGAGAAGGGAGAAGGAATCCTGCTTCACTGAAAGCAGCAGCAAATGACTCTTTTTGGCCTTGAAAATTCTACATATCTGTGAAATTTCAATGAAGAATATTCTAAGTGCTTTGTGACATATGCATTCCTCTCTAGTGCAAATTTCCAATTCAAACCAAATTTCCCTAAATCAGATTCTGTTTTAGAATCTGATTGCAGAACGCTTCTTCCAGTTCACAAAAAGCAAAAAGCATATATATGCTTCTATGCTGTCTCTCTAGTCTGTGATTACATTTTTCAAAGGAATTGATGTGAAGGGAGTTCTTTTTAATAACAAGCCGTTTTACTGTTACCTTACTATGTTCCTATAATAAAAATGTTAAAGTGCATGTGTTATGAGTTCAGCAAGAAAGAAGCATGTAAATTTCAGCCCCCTTTTAAACTGAAGTTTCTTTTGAAACAAAACCTAAATGGTTATATGAATACCTGACAATCAGATTTATAAATTCTGCTCCCCCCCTTTTTTTTAACAACTGGGTGCTTGTGAGAAGGCTTTCAGGAGACCTTCAGTCTTTCACACACTTACTATGCAGTGACAAAGATCACAGAATTTGTTTAAATTATAGTTTAAAAAACCCTTAGCGTTTTAAACTATTAATTTATAAACATGTTTTGAATATAAAAGTAGCAAAGATGAGTGATTAGGGCCCAGTTTCCCTAACACTCCCCTCCTGAAAGACTAGCAGGCCCGAGGGACGGAAAGGCAGGGACACGAGAGAGGCGGGGCGTCCTTGGAGACGTCCAGTCATTTGGGCTTAGGAATGGTGGGGCGGGGCTGGAGTGGGGATGTGGGGTGTTGGGGGTCAGAAAGGGCTGTGTAAAGACTCGCGAGAAGGGTTTTTAGGCGGTGGGTCTCCTTGTGATTGTCAAACCGTGGAAGAGAGGATGGTCAAGTCCAGACCAAAGAGTCTCAACGTGTACTGGGGGGTGGGGGGTTGGTGTTGGGGGGAGGGGCTGTGTCACTGGCTTGACTAACAATCCGGTGCTCTCAACACCCACCACCAAATCAACACCTGCACTCAGGCGCCCCGAGGCCGCGGCCCAGGTACCCCTCTGCAGACCGGCAGACAGTGGGGTGCGCGGGAGCTGAGCAGGTGTCAGGCGGCTGCGGGTGCGGGTGCGCCCCTCGGCGACCCCACCTGTGTCCCTCGGAGGCCGGCAGTCGGGGGCGTGGCCAGCCGGGGCGGGGGGGGGGGGCGGCCGGGCTCCCTCCAGAGGTGGCCGAGGCCGACGGGCGAGGTCGCCCGGGTCTCCGGCGCCACCTCCCCGGGGGACCCGGGCCTCCGGGGCGGGGCGGGGCGGGCCGCGCCGTTACCTTGCAGATCAGTCCTTTCTCCCCGGCGAGGGGCCGCAGGAGCCGAGGGCCGGGTCCGGGGCGGGGGGGGCGCCCATCAACCGCGGGGGGCCGTGCGTGCGCCTGTGCCTCCTCTCGCGTCTCCCTCCCTGTGCCGGCCCCTCCTCCTCCTCCCCGGAGGCAGCTTTCCGCGGCGGCGGCCGGGCTTCGCGGGGCCGAGGCGGTGGGGGCGGCTGCCTGGCGTCCTCCCGTTTCCTTGGCAACCGGCCTCCGCCCTCCTCGCGCGGGATCCGGGGCCTGGAGCGCGGGCGGGGGCGGGGCGCAGGCGAGGCGCGGCCCGGGGTCCTGCGCGCGGAGGTGGGCGCCCCGCTGGTTGCCGTGGGAACCCCTTGGGGGGCGGCGGGGACCGCACAGGGGTGATGGCTGCGGCGGGGAGGGGATGCTGAGGGGGAGGCGGGTTGGCTTTGTCTTGACACCCAAGATACCCGCGCCTTGACTCCGGCCCTGAGTCCGTGGGATGCTCTAGAGACGCTGCGGGTAGAAAACGAGAGGGGGCAATATTTTAACTGGAAAAAAAAAAAAAATTACAGGTAATACCCAGGTAGGGGGAAAGAGCAGCCCTGGAGTTTGGGTGTGTGCGCGGGATATGCTCCCACACAGAGAGGAAGACGTGCAGGATCTAGCAAGGAGGCGCCGTGAGCTGCAGGGCCAAGACCAGCACCCAGTTATGCCAGTGAGCGCTGCAGCGCTTTTTCCAAGGAAGGGGGTTCTTAGACCGGTGCCCACAGATTTGGAAGGAAGGCATCAGAAGCTGTGCGAGTCTCACCTTCTCTCTGCCAGGTTTATTTCTGTCTGTGTTTTTTATAGACGGGAGATGACTCTCCCATTTGTTTTGCAAATTTAGGCACTGGGTAACTTGCCAACTGGTGTCAAGTTAGGGCATTTTTGATTGGGTAGAGAATAAAGAAAAAGAAGAGAAATTCTTGGGCCCTTCATCAATGTCTCCAGTCTCTGGGGTCTGTGTTTAGGGTATCTTCTCAGCAATCCCCCCAATCCAGATGGCCCTCATGTCTCCTGCAGCATCACAGCATTTTTCTATTCTCACCACCAACTGGTTGTTTCCTCCCTGGTCTCATAACTGGCTTATTGTAAGGACCTCCTAAGGGCTCCTGTCTTCCATACTCTATTCCCTACTATCCCTCCTCTTCCATAAGGAATAGAGGATTGAGGTCCTCAGTCCCCTGCTGAGAAACCCCCAAAGAGCCAATAACACCTGCAGAATATAGTCCTAACTCTAACTATGGCTTCCCTCTGCTCTCCCCCTGGGCTTACTTTCTTGGTGTTCCTCCCCTAGCACATTTTCATTCCTATTTCAGCACATCAAGAGGTACCTGTTACACACTGGATATCCCTCCCTGCCTTCACACCAGCTTCTAAGGCATACCCTGACCTGGCATGTGTCCAGATAAAATGTACTTAGGTGAAGTCTTTGTCTAGTGCACTTTGTCAACCAGCCTTCATGAGTCCTTCAGAAGTCCCTAGTATCCATCGGTGTCTAATAGTTCAACTCATGTTCTTATTCTTAGCTGGCTATCAAGTAATCCTTACTAAAGTATTAGCTGGTAATTAACCAGTTACCGAAGACCTTTCTTCATTGTGTTTGCCTTTCAAAAGAAAGTACTTAAAGACACACTAAGAAAGTACTTTAGACACACTAAAAGAAAGTACTTTAAGACACACTAAGTTGAAAATATAATAGTAGAATGATTGGTAGAGAGCTTATTTTGTTCGAACTAGGATCCCCCTCAAATAAAAATAATTATAATGATTAATGATAATAATTATTAATGATTAACAGATGAGGAAGTGGACGTCCAGAGGAGGTTTGAAGAGAAGTGACACATGGTAAGTACCAGACCAGGGCTTTCCATTCCCAACCCCCTAACATTGGCCCCAGTAAGAAAGCACCTTGACACTTGTGGGGCCCTGACTTTTCTCCTTCCACTTCAAGGCCTGTGTAAAATAATATGACCTCAAAAGATGACTGTGAGGATTAAATGACAGAGGACAAACACAGCAGTTAATATCATACCTGGCATATAGTAAGCACTCGATACTCAGTAGAATTCCTTTTTTTTTTTTTAAAGATTTATTTATTTTTATACAAGAATTGGGGTACAGGCCAGAGATACGGGGGGTGAGAGGATTCACCAGAGACAGAGCAGAGAACAGAACAGGCAGACGGACGGACCGAAGTACACTGCTGAGGGGAGCAGCGGGCAAGACAGGAGATGTCTGTCCCGCCATGTGGGTTTATCCCTAGCTGGCTAGGAATCGAACTCGTGCTACAGTGGCTGCAGATTGCTTCATAGGTTGCGTCTTAACCCCTGCACCACCAGGGAGGCCCAGTAGATTTCCTTTTTGAGGCATATTTTATGATTTTATGTAATGTACATGAGTGTAAACCATAAAGATCTTAAGACTTTGTAAATGGACAGGTTTGCTAGCACCCCTACATCCCTTAGTTTTAAACTCTTCTACATTTCAAATATTTCTGAAAATCATAGGACGCCCAAGGTCTGCAAGGGAAAAGTTATCACACAAGCCAAGTTTAGGGTTTAATGAGTAAACTTAAGCTTGGCATGTAAATGACAAGTAATATTAGTTCTAGCCTTAAAGTGCAAAGCAGAGAAATATCAAAATGAGGAAGAAACACAATTTTGGTTGGGGAAAGAATCCTACTCTTCACTACTCTTTGTACAGTGTCCCTGATAGCTGATGAATAAATGAAGGAAAAATTAAGGCAACACATAGAATGGATTCTGATGGCTGGGATGTTTGGACCTTGCAAAAAAGCATCCAAAAGTTCTGCTTTCAATCTAAGAGTTCTGCAGAGGACAACTTCAAGTATAAAATTTCCAAAGTAAACCATGTGTGTTTCCAAAATAACATTTTGGAGGAGAATATTTAATTCAGTGCAAAAAGTAAGTTGTCCAGAGGAGTAACTATATATTCTAAATCCCCCAAAGCTTCTAAGACTGGACTGTCCAGCAGCTTTGTGGAGACCCCTGGAATTGGTGTGCATTTTGATGGGGGTCATTGAAGATGTAAGAGTGGGTCCTTGGTTTTGTATGATTAGAAATGCCATTTAGTTCATTCAGAGTTGAGTTTTTAAAGAAATTAATGTCTAATAATCCTACTCAGCAGAAACTAAATATCCTCCACTTGACCAAGTGACTGTTTTATACCAGGGAAGAAAACTGACACTAACTAGCACAAGGTATTCCCTCCTGCTGGACAGGCAGCCCCAGGAGATCAAATTAAAGACCAGAAGTTTTGGTGAATATTGAATTAGATCAAAGGGAATTGAGTGTTCTTAAGGGATATTTCTGGCAGGCTGAGAAGGCCTTAAGGAATAACCTGCCTTCCCTCGGAGATGTTTCAGTGTGGGTAACTGGTTTGGATGATTCACCTCAAAGTTTTTGGAGACTTTAATCACATTTTTGTTCAATTTCATTGGACCGTTCCTTTTCCACGTATGCTTCAACAGCATAGTTTGGAGTTGAGAAGACTGTATGGCAGTCAACAGCTTTTACCACTCTTAGCATCCTCAGAGCCATCACAGGTCCAATCAGGGCCACCTCCTCAGCTTGTTGTGAGGCTTATAAAATAGCGAGTGGACGTTTCTGGCAATGCTCCTGATTCATAGTAGCTGCTCGACAAATGTTAGCTGACATATTGTTCACATTATGTCCATTTAATTTTCCCTTCTGAGACCTGAAGACACCTCAAGGTACACCACCTGCAAATTTATACCACATCTCTCAAGGTTTGTTATTTCTTTAAGTTGTTCATCTTAGGTCACTGCTTTCATGGTGGTTAATTGCATATTGATTATTTTTTGAACCTGGGTTTCAGAGAGTGACATCTACGACCTCATTCCTAACTGGGAGGGTGTATCCAACTTGGGGATCACAGTCATCCATGAACTACATGAAGCTTTCAAAGGTTGAATATTTGAAATCTGATTCTCTTGTGGAATAAAGTAGATTGGCAAACACCCTACAATTAATTTAAAAAGCATGTCCTTTGGGGTTTCCTTAGACTTTTCCTCATTTGGAATTGTCGCTGATTCCAGCATGCACTTTTACAAAGAAAGGGCAAGTTCAATAACATTTTTGGATCCCATTGTGCTGAGCTCTTTCTCGAAGCTCAGACAGACTTTGATTTCATTATCCATTTTGGAAGCTTCAGACTTTGAGAGCCCTTTTCATTATGGCGGTGGAAACATCTGATACAAGACTGGATGTGATTATATAAGACTTTGAGAACACAAAACATACTGCTTTACTGAATTGCTGAGAAATTTTTACTAAAGGAAAGAATTTGACTTCTGCCCAGAAGAAGGATCTGATTTGTTTGGACTTTGGATAAACTCAAGGCATACATTGTTGGCCAAAAGTTTAATTTGTGAACTAATTGTTGAGTCCTGAGCAAACCTCAGGCTTTAGAAAGCTATGACAGAGTCCAGAATCCCTTGTGAGCCTTAGATATGTTTCTGGACATAAAAACACTCAGATTAGACAGAAAAAAAAAAATCTTTGTCGAGAGGGCAGAGGAACACAAGCGTTCAGTTACTCCTGGGCCCCCATGAAGTGGTTATTACTCCACGATGTTTTGTTTGGAAAAAAGTACGAGCAAGTGAGGAAGAGAATCTAGTAAGAATCCCACAACCAAAGGCAGCTTCTATAGAAGCTGGGGAGACATGGGCAGGAAGGGGTTGGTAGCCCTAGTTTGGGGAACTAGGGGGACAGGCAACCCCCTTTCTGAGCACTCATTTCCTAATCATTGCAGTGGGTGGGGGGGATGCCCATTGTCTGTACCACAGGGAGGAGTAAGGACTCCTGGGACCCAGCCTCACAGGCAGCACCCATCCCCTGACGGAGCAGTCCTAGTCTGCCCCTCTCGGCTCTCTTCAGAGCTTTCTTTTGTGTCTCTGTTTTTCTAATTATACAGAAGGAGCATCAGATCCTTTGCTAACTTTCATCTCTTTAACCCTTTATTGCTTCTCAATGTTGCCTCTATCCAAGGAGGCGCCACACCACTGGCCTCAGGGTACGCAAAGGCAGCAGGAGCAACCTCCAGGCTTTGGTGGGAACCAGGTGCAGAGCAGCAGGGAGGAGCTTACAGTGTCCAGAGCTGTTGAATCTGGAACATTCTATCTATTCACTTAACCAACAAGTATTTGACTAGAGAGTGTCAAGGACATATTACATGTAGGCAAATGGATAAATACACACTGGCAAGCGATAATTGGCTGCGCTAATAGGATGCAGTGAGAGAATACTGAGGGGTGGGAGGGAACTTATTTAGACAAAGTGTTGAAGATGGTCTCTCTGGGTGGGGCCTGAGGCTGAGGAGGAGCCAGCCCTCTGAGGAAGAGAAGGAGCACCAGTGGGGGAGCCAGCATTGGGAAGGTCTTGAGGTGAGAGAGCTGGAGGGATCCCAGGAACTCAGTGTGGCTGCAGGACTGTGTGAGTGGAGGCTGGTGAGGTTACTTCATTCCTAGCATGATGGGAAGCCATGGAGAGGTTTCAAGGTGTGTGAGCCTGAGTGGTGTGCATGCGTGTGTGTGTGTGGGCGTACATGGATGACGCTTCTCCTGGGGACTGGTGAGGAGCTTCCTCACAAAACTGGTGGCTGTGACCCGGGAGCCTGGCCCGGTGGTGAGGAATCTCCAGATGATGGAAGGTCACAGTGTTTCTCCCAGGTCCTGGCTGTGGGCCTGTGCAGAGGGCCCTCGCTGCATAGTCTATCCCGGTGTTCAACCTCCGGTCTCTCACGACAGCCTGTTTCCTCACAATGCCTCTTCCTGCTGCATTTGGGTCATTGTCTCACCCCCTTACTACCCCCTCCTTTCCGGCCACCCCCCTCCTCTTTGCTCCTTTCTCTGCCCTCTCCAGCCCGTTTCCCTTCTCTCCTCGCTGCCTTTCTCATTAAGAGTCACTTACTTGCCAAACCGCAGCTCTTAGATTCCTGTTTTCCCAAACAGATTCCTGGCTGACCTCGTCTGTCGTTGGTCCCCTCTCTGTGCGTGACCCCCTCAGTTTCACTCCCCCCTGGCCCCCCCACCCCCAACACACACCCGCTAACCCCGAGGTCACGCGGTTTTCAAAATGGCAACAGGAAAAAAAGCCCTTGCTCTAGCCCTACAAATAGGAGGTGTGACGGCATGAGCCTCGGGTGACGTCATTCTGGGTGACGTCATTCTGGGGCCGGCAGGGCTGTAGAAGGCGGTTCTCAAAAACCAGAGAACAGAAGGTATCGGTATCGCCGTGCAAACTCCCTCCTGTGGCTCCCGGAGCCCTCTGAGTCGGGGTAATGAGAGAACATTCTTCAAACATGACTTCACCACGCTCGGGCCTCAGACAAATTCCTGGATGTGTGTGGAACACGCTCTCGCAGCAAGCCGGAGCACGGGGCGGCTCGGCTCTCTCCTCCCAGCTGCTGCCTTGCTGCCTTCTGAGTCAGTTTGCACTAAGATGCACTGAAATAGTTTTTTAAAAAGAGCAGACACACCTCTCATCGCATTGTCATTGTGTCATACGAGCAGGCCCTACGCATCACCCTTGAGCAGGAAGAAACCATGCATTTTTTTATATATATATATATATTTTTTCATATATAGAAAAAAGCAGGAGAGTGTTCCTTTGCAGGAAACAGCAGAGGTAATTTTTAGTTCACTTACAGCTGAGGGGTGTGTGTGTGTGTGTTTAACACAGGCGGTTTATCTGAGTGGATTTTAAGAAATTAATTTAACTGGAATATGATTAAATTACAAGGAGAGGGAAAAGCATTTGGTGGCATCAGATGGGGTCAAAGGCCACGCTAATGCAATATCTCGT